ACCCAGACCACGACGACTTGATCTGGTCGAATTTCGGCCCCCCGTGCCCTGGGGAACTTTTCGTCTTGAATTGCGTTTCCAAGCGTCCTGTGCAATGAGGAACTCTGCAGACAAAAATAACAAGAAACTGCATCGACATGTTCGAGTCTCGAAGTCTGGGGGGCGGCTGGGGCCCGCGTTTTCGCGCCGAGCCGCGCTGAGCGGCCCCGGGGCCAGAGCTGCCTCCGAAACGGGAACCGAAAACGCAAAACGAAAAACAATGATCCCAGCCCCCCCCCCGCCTACCCCCCCCCCCAAACGCCTGCCCGCCCCCTCTCTCTGACTGCAGACATGCGCGGCGCACGCGCGCGCTTTTTTCAGAACAGTTCAACCCAGAGCTTCTCCAACAGTGCCAAGTAAAACGTGGCGCCTTTGCGGGCGCTTCTAGCGGCCGTAGCCAGCGCCCTGTTTTCGCCCTCATCAACGTAGGTCCACGAGAACCTCGGGTTCCCCGAGCCCCGCGCCCTCTCGATGATGTGGAAGCACATGTGGAACTTAAAACCAAGTGTGCACCAGAGGCCTTGCAGTAGCGAAGAAAACCAAGCATGGCCGTCTCCATTGTCCTTTGGGCATCTGGGGTCAAGGCTCCAGGGGCGCTCGTCGCAATCTGTTGGAATGCGCGAAACTCCTAGCAGGGGAAAGGGATCGCCGCGGCGGCGCCCTCAGCGAAGCAGTCGCGGTTCTCCGCGCGCAGCTTCGGGAGCAAAGGGATCAAGCGTCTTGTCTCCGCTGCCTTCGCATGCAATTTACGAGAGGCCTCTTCCGTATATTTACCCAGCTTTTTAATGGTCAGCGCATTGACCGTGCGACGGCCATGCCCCGCAGCAGTATGTTCTCGAATGTACAATATGATTTGATCATGCGTCTCAGGTGCTCGAGGTTCCCTGCGTTTCGGACGATCAGTGTTGCGGCCCTGCTTTGGGCGAAGTTGCCCATGATGGGTCTCCAAGAAACAATGGAACGCGCGCGCTGGCTGGCCCCGAGGTCGCACATGCATCAGGTCGAGGGCGATCGTACTCACCGCGATGCCAGCCGCACTAAATATGGGAGCAACAAATGCCTACCCAAAGTCACATTTTGCATCGAACAAAGTCAACTCCAGAGGTTCGCCAGGTAGTATGCTGATGCTCGACAGCGCGCGAGCGTCGGCGACTCGCCCCCGCGGGGCCAGGCGCCGCCCCGCCGCCGGGCCAAGCTCGGGCAGGTCGCGCCGCGTTCCAAACCCGCACGGCCCTTCATCGTGGCGGCAAGATCTAAGGACGCGGTTGAGTTGCGCCCTACTTCTCACAAGGGTCTTCTTAATACGTGATCTACGCATGGCCTCATATTGTCTCGGGCCCTTCTCCTGCCGCGCACATGTATCGACTGTCAACGGGAAATTGCACAGCTCACTCTTCAATGCGTTGCAGCGCGCGCACGGGTTCACCGCGTTATCCCACCGACGGAAGCCCAGAGCTCAGATCAGCTCGAGCATGTCTGCCCGGAGTTCTACTAAAGCTCCGCAGAGCACCCCCGCAAGGGGGAAGCCCCGCACGCCGCGCCTCCACTCGCTCACAAGCGGGGCGTTGTCTTGCGCAAGCTCTGGAAAGACGCCAGCCGCCATGGCATTCAGGCTCCGCGCGATGCCCGCCATGACCGCGCCGATCGTGCACATGCTTCGGCATGCGCACTGGCAGAGGTCTGCCTTCCTCAGGGTGCATGCAGGATGCCGCTTGCCAGTCTTGCAGCCATTCCAATACATGCAAATGATCGTGCCCCGCTTCACGTGGGGAACGCCGTCGCTGTAAAATCCGATTGGGAACGAAAACGCACGACCTTTTTGAACCGTGACCACGCGCGCGCTGCAATGTGCAGGGAGATCCTGGTCGTTCACATTGGTCAAATCATAATCGCCAGGGTAATCTGACCAAGTCTGGTGGAAGCGCTCGTGCGGGACACGCATGGGGGAGTGGATACGCGTGCGCCTCTCACTCTCCGAATCACAGGCTGGGATTTTGGCCGCGTAGACATGTTCCCTGGACTCGACTCGGATCGCATCCCCGAGGCGACCCGCGCGACGATTTGATGCCTGGTCGGGGCCCAGCCCCAGGGCCCCGCAGCCGACGCCGCCCGCGGGCTGACCACGCCGCGCGATCGCGCGCGCATCCCGGCAGAACAATTGCACCCGATCGCACTCATAATCGCCGATATCGGTCGCGACGTCGGGCGCCTAGGACCGGCCTTCCAGCCGCCGAACTTCTGAGGCGTGGGTTTCGTTTGGCGCCAGCGGCGCGCGAGCGTTGGCCTGGCCGCCCGCCTGCGCAGGATCCGCCGACCCTGCTGCCGCCGCTGCCCCCGACGACGCGCCGCCCCCGATCTCGAGAGGCCAGCAGCACGACCAGCCATCGATGGATCGAAAAACAATCCAGGACGTCAGCCCAGTGTTCGGGGAAGCAGAAAACAAATACCTCATGGGCCCATCCTCGAGCTACATGACTACGGACTCACGGGGGCAAGACCCCGCGCTCTCGGAAGCGAGCCGCCCTCGAGAATGAGCCCCGGCTTTCTTGGGGGGGTCCGATCTACGGGGCTTCGAAAAATTTGTTCGAACGCTGCGGCTCCACTTCATCACGTCGCTTCGCGCCGCTGCCCTTATTTCAACGTCGCGGGCGTAGACGCGACGCTGCCAGATCTCGGTCGCAGGCGGATGCCGCCTTTTCCCCGCGAGCCTTGCTCACGAGCGCCTCGCCTGCTGGTTTCTGCGCGCCCAGCTCTGGGATGCCCTTTCCCCCTCCCCCCCCCTTGCTCGCGCGGCATTTCTATATCCTGATGCCCAGTGCGCCCTCCTCTATTTTCTTCCGCGCCCCCATGTTCCTTTTTTACCGTTCAAGGTCAATCGCCCCCGCCCCCCCCCC